GGATATAAATTTACCATAGGCCCCAAGTAATTTCACTGTTAGATATTTATCCAAGAAAAATGAGAACAGCGGTGGGTGGCTCAGTCAGTTGAGCATCCAGCTCTTGATTTCAGCTCAGGTCATGGTCGCAGGGTCCTGGGATCAAGCTGTGCATGGGGCTCCATGCTCAGTGGGGAGTCTGCTTAAGGATTCTCTCTCTCCCTCTCCCTCTGCCCCCCCTCCGCTTGTGCTCTCTCTCTCTCTCAGATAAATCAAAAAAAAAAAAAAGAAAGAAAGAAAGAAAAAGAAAAGAAAAATGAAAACATATGTCCACAAAAAGATATGTACACAAACGTTTATCATGGCTTTCTTCGTAATAGTCCCAGACTGGAAGCAACACAAACTCTATCAACAGGTGATTAGATAAACAAATTGTGGTTTGCCATTAAATATTACACTACATTTAAAAGGGTGTATCCTGAAATATACAACAGCATGACATGATGAATTTCAAAAGAATTTTGCTGAATGAGGGAAGCTGGGTACAAAAGAGTTCCTATTGTACATTTCCATTTATGTGAAATTCTAGGGAAGGCAAAACTAACCTATAGTGATACAGCATATCATTGTTGCCTGGAACCAGGAAGGGGGTGGCATTTGAATGCAAAGGAGCATGAGGAACATTTTGAGGTGATGAAAATGTTCTATATCTTGATTTTGGTGGTAGTTACACATTTGTATACATTTGTTAAAGTCATCTAACCACATACTTTTAAAAGTTGCATTTTAGTATAGTATGTTATACTTCAATAGAGTTGATTTAAAGAAGATGGGTTGGAGGTGAGGGATGAGGTAGTTTGTAAATTTAGGGGAATTATATAATGGAAACAGCAACAACAAAGTGAATAGTTTCTTCAAACTGAGATGAGTAGAAAGAATTTTGGAGAAAAATATGCATGAGAAGAAGGTGATATTCACTAGAATATTTCTGATAGGCTCAAAAGTAAATATTTGTCTAAATTTTATTATTAAACTTTAAGGTCACACTTAACGGTAAGCTCTTATGTAACATACTTAATGTACCTCATACATTAAGTATGTTACATAAGAATTAAGGAGGTTCCTTTTGTTGAGATGATTTGCTTATTTTACAGAATAATTCTATATTCCAAAGACAGCCACTTTCACATTATTGAGAACTGGCCATTTCCAAAGTATCTGAAATCTTTCAAAAGCAGATGAAGCCATAATTCTAACAAAATATTTTTTGAAGAAAATTGTGAAAGAACATACACTGCTAGCTTTGAAAAACTTCAAATGTAACTTATGAAGTACTTTGTTATTTTGTATTTAGATATGCAATTGCATTGGAATTGCTATCATTAAATGAAAGGGTAAGCTAATTAAAGTATGAAGTATGGATAAGATTTATATCTGAAGGGTTTACTATAGTATCAGATATCTAAAAGTGTAAGCAAATTGGAATGGCACCTAAATTACAGATCACTGAAATGCAAATGGAAAAACAATAAGCTAAAAATGAAGATACAATTTTTCTCTTTTTGCTTTGTATTTTTCAACTTGATAATTAAGTGCAGTATATCAGATGTCATATAAGATTGATTTGTTTTTTATTGTTATGTTAATCACCATACATTACATCATTAGTTTTTGATGTAGTGTTCCATGATTCATTGTTTGTGCATAACACTCAGTGTCCATGCAGAACATGCCCTCTTTAATACCCATCACCAGGCTAACCCATCCTCCCACTCCCCTCCCCTCCAGAACCCTCAGTTTGTTTTTCAGAGTCCATCGTCTCTCATGGTCTGTCTCCCCCTCCGATTTCCCCCGCTTCATTCTTCCCCTCCTGCTATCTTCTTCTTTTTTTTTTTTCTTAACATATATTGCATTATTGATTTGTTTTTTTAAATCATTTTTCTCAAGATTCCCTAAGAACAACAGAATTAAAGTGTCATACTACAAGATGGATTTGAAAGGTAAAGCTGGAACACAGTTTTCTCTAAGAATGACATTCAAAGAATCAAGGTTAGATGATGCAAATTTTGGAGTCTGCTTTCTAACAGTGCTTAGAATGACACATTTATTTCTGGGAAATTGTGGGAGACCTCAACCCTAAAAGAAGTTAACCATGAAGCTTGATTTTGGTTCATGTTCTCATGGAAGTTCAAAAATCTTCATCTGCGAGAATATGATACAGGCTTTTAAATTTTTACAACTGAATGTCATCTCTTTCTTCTGAATATATGATTTTTAAGGGCATGATACTTTAATATGCTATGCAGAATATCAATTCTTCAGGAAAATACCAGATAATTCAACTATATATGAACTGTGTTCTATTACTTGCTTAATTTCTCATGAGAAATCCAATAAGAAAAACAGCTCAGGAGTCTTGTTTTTCTAGTCTGGAAAAAAAAGTTTCCCACATTTTCTAAATTTTAGAATCCTGTGGTAAATTCATTCCTAAGAAAACCTTTGTTTCTCTATTATATCATATAATCAGATAGTGAAAGTCAGCAGTTCAGAATATTTCCTGATTTTGATCAAATAATGGACAAGAAGTTCTGAATAAATTTAGAAATTAAGTCAGTAGCTAATTCACCTCAATTATCTAGTGTGTGTATTTTTCTGCTTCCTTCAGTAGATTATTGTTCAGTTTTTACCTAATTTCCTCCTTTAGACAATTTAAGTCAATGTGCAGTCTTAGATCAATTTCTGAAGTAGATGCAGTAGATGTTATATAAAAATTATCCTGAGTATAAACTATGTTTATAGTTCTTATTCATTGTTGCTGAAATAGAGTCAGAAATAATCCCACTTTAAGGATATTTAAAATGTGTCCAATTTATGGTACACCTAAATCAAATGAACTGAAATCAAATGAATGGAAAGAGACTCTTAAGAATTCTAACAGTTGTAGCATCTATTCTTTGAATGTGTTCTTTTTTGGCACTTAAATCGGCCAAACTTGTCTACTTATTCCCCTTTCACAATAAAAATTAATCCATTCTTTTGTTTTAATCTTCATTGCAAAATTTTCTGCATTTGAGTGCATGCAGTTGGTAAACAAGCTGGAATATGTTGCTGTTCATTCTTTCCAGTGTTTTATTTGCTTATCTACTTAAGAAGGAGAATTATTCTGACAGAGTGAGTTAAGGATATAGTAACATAACTTCTGTTGCTACCTATTATCAGTATTTTTTTCTTGCTTTTAGAAAAAACAATGGTAAGCTTCTAACCCATACTTCTTTTTTTTAAGGCTAATCTCTTATTTAAGAAGTTTTAATTGATTGCGTTTTTACTGGACTAGAACAGCATTAGCAACATTCCTGTAATTCTCTTTTTGCGTAAATCCTTTGTTCTTACATTTCTTTTCGTTTTGTCTAGCAGAATGTAAGAAAGATTATAAAATGTCAGGGGTTATGAATACGGCAATTTAAAAATTTAGTATTTCTTCATTTTGCAATTATATATTGATGACATAGTTTTCATAATGAATAAAAACTGGATACAATTATTTAAATCTTCATTAAGGGGCTCCTGGGTGGCTCAGTTGTTAAGCATCTGCCTTCAGCTCAGGTCATGATCCCAGGATCCTGGGATGGAGCCCTGCGTTGGGCTCCCTGCTCGGCAGGAAGCCTGCTTCTCCTTCTCCCACTCCCCCTGCTTGTGTTCCCTCTCTCGCTGTGTCTCTCTCTGTCAAATAAATGAGTAAAAATCCTTAAAATCAATCAATCAATCAATCTTCACTAGATAAACATGAATAATACTTTAAATATATGTTTTAAAATCAGCCTGAAAGATGCTGTTATCGAAATAACAGCATCCTGAATCATCACAGATACTGTATAACTTTCAAAAAAAGGGGAGCAAAAATCTAAAGTAAGCAAAAAGAATTTTAAATACTGTCCTGGCACAAAGATGATCATGGTATTTAATAAAATGCACTTAAAATGTACATTAAGAGGTGATAATTAGGCTAATTTTTCAGATAACTTTTTTTTTTTTTAAGATTTTATTTATTTGACAGAGAGAGAGACAGCGAGAGAGGGAACACAAGCAGAGGGAGTGGGAGAGGGAGAAGCAGGCTTCCCGCTGAGCAGGGAGCCCGATGTGGGGCTCGATCCCAGAACCCTGGGATCATGACCTGAGCCAAAGGCAGATGCTTAATGACTGAGCTACCCAGGCACCCCACCTCCTTTTTTTTTTTTTTTGAGATTTTATTTATTTATTTGAGAGAGAGAGAATGAGAGACAGAGAGCATGAGAGGGAGGAGGGTCAGAGGGAGAAGCAGACTCCCTGCCGAGCAGGGAGCCCGATGCGGGACTCGATCCCGGGACTCCAGGATCATGACCTGAGCCGAAGGCAGATGCTTAACGACTGAGCCACCCAGGCGCCCCACCTCCTTATTTTTTTTTTTTAAGATTTTATTTATTTATTTGAGAGAGAGAGAATGAGAGAGAGCATGAGAAGGAGGAAGGTCAGAGGGAGAAGCAGACTCCCTGCTGAGCAGGGAGCCCGATGTGGGACACGATCCCGGGACTCCAGGATCATGACCTGAGCCGAAGGCAGTCGCTTAACCGACTGAGCCACCCAGGCGCCCCTATTTCTAATTCTTTTTTTTTTTTTTTTAAGATTTTATTTATTTATTTGACACAGAGAGAGACAGCGAGAGAGGGAACACAAGCAGGAGGAGTGGGAGAGGGAGAAGCAGGCTTCCCGCCGAGCAGGGAGCCCGATGCGGGGCTGGATCCCAGGACCCTGGGATCCTGACCTGAGCCGAAGGCAGAGGCTTAACGACTGAGCCACCTGGCGTCCCTAAGATAACTATTTCTAAATAAGGAATGATTCAGTATATTAATATAATGTGAATTTTTCTACACCCATATTTCACTTATTTGTTTTTCTGTTAAGAAGAAGGATTTGATTCTAGATTAGGAATAATAAACATAACTACCAAAATGTATCTCTTTAATCCAATTGTGTCTTCCTTGCAGAGTGCAGATATGAGCCCAGCAAGTAGCATCACTTCACTTCCTGTTAGTCCTCTTACTGAAGAGCCATTGCCCTTCAAGGTAAAAAAAAAACAAAAAAATAGTTATTTGTGATACTCTTAGGATACTTACTTTACTGTAGTAAAATATTGCATGGTGTAGATGGTAAGGTGAACTGCTTTAACATGTAAGGATCTAATTTCAGATGGTAAAATCTTTGTTGTTTCGTTGTCATTCTGGTTGGTAAATGAAAGTACAGTTTAAAATAGAAGTTAATACTTTATAGACTACATCATTTGCCATGTGTATAAGTAACAGTGATTTCTTTGTAATAGTTTGATGTCACATGAATTAGAGGTTTTGAATCTTTTGTTTATCTTAATTTAAGTAATAAATTTAGGATGAATTATTTAGCCCTCATCAAGTGATTACATTTTCATCAGCTGGTTAAGTTTTCATTGATGACTCTAGCTCATAATTAATTAATTATGAGACCTTTACAAAGTAATGATCAAAATAAAAATTTGAAATACAGAATCATTCCTCCAAACCCATTATATTTTAAAAATATTTAAGGAAATACATAGATAAGTAATTAAGGAGTATGGTTTGTAGAATTCTTCAGTTTGGGAGACTATATGCATTACAAGTAAGAAGTGATTTTCTCGTTTTTACTGTTTAAGATTAGATGTATCTCTTTAAACCAAAGCTTGTAGATGAGCTGTTTTACATCTGTACCAGGGATGTTTGAATTTCATTGAAATTATTATAAATAAAGGCAATCCTTAAGATCATGGGGAAAAAATACTTGGAAAGTTGGGATGATACACTTAACTTACATGCAATAGTTTCAGTTTAATTTGGTTTAAAGACAGGTAGATGTGCATTTTGGGATTCATTATGATTTTCATGATTTTTGGATTTTATCATAAAGTTGTTTATTACTGTGGGGTTTTTTTCCTTTTCATATGAAGAGCATAACCTACTCAACTTCATACTGCTTAAACCTAGTACAGTGGCTGGTATTGATTTCTAAATACTCAATATTTGCTGTATTGTTAAAATGAGAATAATAGAAAGTTATGAATTTCATTGTGTGTCTTTAGTTTTCTAATAATAGATGCTTTGTTGTTTAATGATAGACAAGGGGCACTTGAGTGGCTCAGTCAGTCAAGCAACTGACTCTTGATTTCAGCTCAGGTCATGAACTCAGGGTCATGAGATTGAGTCCCGCATGGAGCTCCACGCTCGGCAGGGAGTCTGCTGGAGATTCTCTCTCCCTCTCCGTCGACCCCTCCCCTGTCACGTGCTCTCTCTCTCCCTCTCTCTCAAATAAATAATCTTTAAAAAATGATAGACAATAATAATTGTTAAAAGGTTATTTTATATCAGAGAATTGTTAAATACTGAATAGTATTCTGATTACATTATTTATTGAGAAGTCTATTATTCTACAACAAAAAAGAAAATACTAACATTTCAAAGTTTAGTGTTACTCAGTGTTTCCATCTTATGGTATATGGGACAAAATTTACAGAAGAATCATATCTTTAACAAGATTTTAATTGAATTCTCAAAGCATTACTAAAAACCATTTTCTCTTTTTAATATCTTGAAAATGACTATACTCCTTGAAAATTAATGTATTTTTTAATGGAAGTAAAAGAAAAGGTCAGATATATTCCAAAATGTGCTGACACAAAGCTAATATAAATATAATTATTTTAGTTAGTTTCTGTCACTGCTTCTAAGAGATCAATATTGTTCCCATGTTAATGTATGTAAGTGGTTTTATAAGCAATTAAAACTTCTAAGCACTTATAATATATAATAGTAGTGGTAGCCAGTGTAGTTCTAGTGCCTCTTGATTTACTTTTTTTGTGAAAGAAATATTATTTATATATTTTTCATATTTTTTATCATATATAAAAACATCCCACTAGTATTTAATAGTGTCAAAAATTAAAGTTTGAAATTATGAAGTAAAGCTTCTGCCTTTGTAAATGAGGAGCTTTTTTTGTAAACAAGGAGTAAAGCTCCTTATTCACCACTGTTCTCATCATTCTGTATTGTAAGCATGCCAACCATGAAAGCATTTGAGTGTATCCCTTCATAGAGAAAGATGTATGGTGCACAATTCTCTACATATACTACCACAAACTCACAGACTTCCCAGTCGCACTCTTGGTGCTGAGAAGCTTCTAGGATTCCAAGTTCCCATAATTGGGCAGACAATTTTATGGACATGTATTTGGAAACAAAAAGCAAATGTATAATCTCTATTTTTTAATAAAGCATTCAGGGTGACTTACACAAGTGGTCTATTCTCTATCACAATATCATTACAGAAGGGCAAGGTATAACTAATTTTGCATGGGTGGGAATAATATTTTATCAGATAACCATAATAGAATCATAAAATTTCAAGATCAGTTATCTGTGAGTTAGAAAAAAGAGAGAGAGGGGGAGAGAGAGAAAGAATAGACCACTTAAATGTTAATTACAATGTTTATGTTTCTTTTTATAAAATAACACTGAACCAAGTTGTTAACTCTGATGTGTCCATCCTACCCTATTCTTTTTCTTCCCTGCCATTCTCCTTGATTTCTATCAACCTAATCACTTCCAATCTAACCTGCCTCCTCTCTTCCTTTGTTAGGTTCAGTCAGATAGATATTTCACACCTAACGCCTTGGGGTCACCAAAATTACTGTTCTTTAATAAGATGATCCTTTTAATTTATTTGTATACACATAGTTATTAGCAGCCTCAGTCCATTCCTGGAACTAACAGTCCTGAAGCTGAAGCTCGCTTATTGTTCTTGACCCCTCCATAACAGTACACTTTATTATGGACCATGTTCTTTTTGTTAACCATATTTATCCCCTATTTTAAAATTTATTTGTATTTCACTGAAGCATGATCTCTAGGTTTTAGTCTCGTTTTCTCCAAAAAATCATCTTTTCTTTGATTAGATATGTTAATAAAAGGTATTATTCCAACCTTGCCCCTTTATCCTTATTCTGTGATAAATTCAATGGATGGAAATGAATTCAACTCTATTTTTCTTTACACTCTGCTTCAAGAGTACACCAAGGCATTAAAGAATATGCTTCATTCACCAATTTTCAAAATTTGATTTTAAACAAAAATATAGTCTTCTCATTGCCCTTCCTGGCCCATTGACTGCTGCTTTTCTGTGATACTTGGGTTTGTGGAGTGTCTAATGAGACTGGGCATCTAGTGCCTAGAATCCACAATAGAGCCACCCTGTCGGAGACCCAGCCACCTTTCCCAGGAGTGGACCAAGAGTGGTTCTAGGATATTTCTGGAGTCTCCTCTCCTTGTGAAATTCAAAGTTCTTAGACTCCTTTTTCTCATCCCCAGAAATCACCCTTTAGTCTAGACTAAAGAAGTTCCCTTTTTAAAAAAATTTCCCTTGGAGATTATTCCTCTCTCCTTTAATCAACCAGAGCCTGGGAAAAAAAATCTTCTCAACATACTTTTTAGAAGCAGAATAGAGGAAAGGAATTGTGATGTAAGATTTTTCTTACCTGAAAGAAACATCACTTTAAGAAGCACAGAGCCACTTTACTAAAGCAAGGGACAAGGAGGTGGAAATAAATAATGTCTCAAAAAAATTCATCTTGTCATGCACTCCTGAAATATTAGGGTAAGAAATGATGCTAATTCCACTTGACCACAGAGCCTAAGTTTAGGACTTAGTAACAAACATAGTTTGCTCTCACTTATATAAAGTAAATAGTGTATAGAAAAAAAAATAGTAATCCCAGAAAATACACACCTATCAACCATTAACTATTTGGTTGAATCATACTTTAAATTTGTCTATAGTTTCTATAACAATCACTAATTTCTACTTTAAGAACAATATTTATTTTTAAGAAAGCAGAAGAGTTCAGAGTATTAGAAGCAATCTTAGCCTAGTTAGGAGACTTCTGGGACAAATCTCAATTCTGACACTTTCTATCTGTATGACCTTGACCTGTTACTTGGTGTCTTAATTTTCCCATCTATAAAATGGGAACAGCAGCAAATTCTTCTTCATTGGGTTTTTATATCATTAAACAAGTTAACAGAAAGTGCTTCAAATAGCACATAATATCAGTATATGTATTAACTATTATGTTTTGTAGAACAGGTATCTAAGTTTAAGGCAAGAGGTTCTGTATGATAAATAACATGAAGCAGAATTATTTCCAGTTAATCCCTTGCACTTTATTTCCAAATGTGAGAGTAGTAATGCACTTTAAATCTTTACTTTGCTGAAGAATAGTATTTAATATTCATTTCTAGAAGGCATGCTGTTTATTTCCTGCCCTCGAGTATTCAGATAAACTCATATATCAGATTCCTTGTATGAAAAATAATTAATGGAAATGTTCATTAATTATGAGGGAGAAGGAGTAAATACATTGAATCTGTCTTAAGGGAAAACTGGTGAATATAAGAAAACATTACTTGGAAAAAAGAAATACATAATTAATAGACCTGCAAGCATAAGGACATACGGCATCTTTTTACCAGGAATACACTGTAGTATATTTTCTTTAATTTCCCAAACCTTTCCCCAGGAATTAACCTGATAACCTCCTAAATGCAAGCTCCACTGAAGGAATATTGTTCAATCACATTAGATACTGGAAAAAAACACATTGTAAACAAAGCACTGTTGAAACTTTATTCTTTGTGTGTTATAATGTCAGTATACTAAGTAGTATCAGTTTATTTTGTCTGACAATATAATAGAAAAGAGCACAGTTGGAGACTCCGGGAGAGAGGAGTTAGATAGTGGCATGACCTCCACAACATCATTTGTTGTATATCTTGCATAGAGTTGGGATTTTGTGTGTGTGAGTGTTTATTGCTGTTGTTTCTCATTCAGTGAATTTAATGGTCTCTCTTATTACTGGAAATCACCTTTTTCATGTCCCAAAAATAATCCCAAATGATATATTCTGCATTTCTGGTAATTTTTTGTACTGTCATCTACTCATTCATTCATTTGTTCTTTCATTCATTCGTTCATTCATTTCTTAGTGAATCGATTTATTGAGTTG